GTAGACTAGGAATGTAATAAATGGCTACTTATTTACTTATTAGATGCTAGGGATTGAACTGAAAAAGCACTGATGCAATGAGCCACATGGCCAGCCCTTTTAATTTTTTATTTTGAGACAGGGTCTCCCTAAGTTGCTTGGGGCCTTGCAAAGTTGCTGAGGCTGGCTGTGTTTGTAATCCTCCTGTCTCAGTCTCTCAAGCTTCTAGGATTACACCATTTGCCCAGTGGCAAATGGTGCAGTACCCAACTAGATGGTTATTTTAACAGTTTGGAAGAAGATAGCAGAGACATTGCATTTCAGTATATTGAGGAATGACTGACTTACATTTTATTTTATAGAATTTATCCACTTATACTCCTTATATGAACAAATATATTGGCAACTAAAAAAGGTGAAATCTCACAGAATTATTTTTTTTTTGGTTTGTTTCTCCATGATGCCATTCTTAATGAGAAGGGACATGAAATGGATGGAACCTGTTAGCTTTCTGGAGGTGGGGAGTTGTGGGAGATAAACACAAGAAGGGAAATAAAGGAGACACCTATGAATTAAAAACACACATATTTATTATGTTTTTTGCTTCATCTCATATACCAGAAAGAATTTCTGAGCTCATGAAGAGAAACTTACATGTAATATAACATTAAATTACAACTGCTAGCATGGTAAGATATTTTTCTCTATATTTGAATTTTCTTAGGAATTATCAAATTTTTGAAGAACATTTATATTTTACAAGGCAAATTACCTTATTTATAAAGTTTTAGGCTTCATTATATAAATAAAAATTCAAATTAATAGTTTATTCTTACCAATATTTTGAGTATAAATTCTCACCAATCTAATTGGTACTGTTAAATGTAACATTTTTTTTTGCTTTTCTTTCTAAAATTGTGCTTGCTTGAAACCATCTGATACTTTGACTCATCAGGTGATTACCATCTGATTTTATGATGAGATACAGTCTGTCTTTAAAAATCAAGATTTATTACATTTATTAAGATTAAGATTTATTAAGTACCTTCTTGGCTTTGCCTAAAAGAAAATAAAGAAACAGCAGGATGAGGTGGAAGCAGAGGAGGAATAAGACTCTTTTACAGTTTTGTGAAGAAAGGAGATTTTAAACTACAAATATATATATATATACATATATATATATATATATACAAATATATATATATTTTGGTGGCACACACCTGTAATACCAGTGGCTTGGGAAGCTGGGGCAAGAAGATTGCAAGTTCAAAGCCAGCCTCAGCAATTTAGGAAGGCCCTAAGCAACTTACTGTGACCCTGTCTCAAATTAAAAAAAAAAAAAAAAGACAGAAAAAGAAAAAAAAGAGGGGGCTGGGGATGTGGTTCAGTGACAAATCACCTCTGGGTTCAATCCCCAGTTGAAAAAAAAAATTATAGCTGGAGGAAACCCCAAGACATAGAAACAAATGCTTATGTTTCTGAACAAACGAAACATGTTCTTTGAGGTTCAGTGGTATCACCACAATTCTCTACCAAGATATACTTCCAAGGGAGAAGWGGGATTTATGTGTGGGATTGATTAATGGGTTGTTATAGGACATGTTGGAACTCAACTGTCACTACATGTCAAGTTTATGCTGTATTTATTCACATTTACTATCTCTTTTACATTATTGCAAAAATCTTCCACATAAAATGCCACTGACTGAGGTCCAAGGAAGTAAAGCAACTTTTCCAAGGACCAATAACCATCACAGAACAGATCCAAATCCATGTTTTCTGACCATAAACAGTGATCTGGTAGGTAGAGGCATTCCAAGTTTTGAGTTTGTTTGAAGTATGAGCTGGGATTATCACATTGGAGGAAGATTAGATAAGACATCTGGCTTAGCAAGGACAGCGATTCCATGCTGGGAATAATAAGATCTATGGAGGATATCACATTTTTAAAAAAGTTGTAAGTGTTCTATTTAAACACAGAATTCAAAGCAAATTGGTTTCATCCATCAGGAGAGACTATTATAATAATAAAGCAAAAGAAAAGAAGGGAGGGAACAAAGGAAGGAAAGAAGAAAGAAGAAAAGAAGGGGCAGGGGGAAAGGGAGAAGGAAAAGGAAGGCAATAATAGCAGAAATAATACAGCCTAGTTGATGGAAAAACATCCTGTATATATCTGTGAATGACTAAAATACATAGTAAKATTCAAATCAGCTGGAGAAGTGAAATGACAGAGATGCTGTAGCAGCAATTATCTCTAAGTAGTTGTATTATAGTTGTATTTTCTTCTTCATACATTTCTTCTTTAAATTATCCACAGGGAACCCATATTGTTTTAATAGTTCCAAAACCAATYTACATAACATAAATACATATATGGCTACATTATTTGCTGAAATATTTCTAAATTTTAAACCATGTAAAAGATATAAAATTGAGATTAAAACTAGAACACATTGTGTTGAATTAGTGATTTACATTGAAATTATACAAAGTGCTGTAAGCCAAGCATCATAAAATTCGCTTTCTTCTTATGTTAGTGTGTCTAAAGCTAAATTAATAATCTCCTGTAATAAATGTGCAGCTCAATATATTTGGAACAATACTCCAAGTTTATAAAGCCCCTCTACTTGTTATTTTAAAATAGAGTGCTTTGCCACTAGAGTTTCATTTTCAAGACACTTTGCTGGCTTTCTGATTGTGGTATCTCATGAGATGCGATGGATCGAAAAAGGCTGAGTGATTGTACATTTCTGACACTGGTGTGAAGAATTTAAATGGATACTTTGCCTTGAATATTTCTGTGTGACATTGTAGTTACCATCTTGTATTCCATGTAAAAGTTGCTTTGGTGTTTGTCAGTATCCATCCACAGTTACAAGGACTTCTAGGAAATTTCCACAATTAAGAAATGGAAAGAATCTAATGATAATAAGACCTTACAGGTCCATACAAATAATAAGGCACCATATTATTTCCTGCTAATAGTTTTTTTACCCCTTGGAAATAATTTAGCATAATTATAATACTGCAGATTATCTCCAACATTGACACTCCATGATGGTAATAATCAATTTTATTTTTCTGCATTTGAAATGACTTAGCTTACCTTTCAAATTTATAAATGGATGCATTTTTAATTAACCAACTTCATCACTGGACATTTGTAACCATACACAAATTACTGGTAAAACTTTTTTATAAGGATTTCATGTTAAGAGTACCAACATTTTAGTGCCAGAGGATCTTCTGACCACATTGGTCTCTTCAAAGTCTTCAAACTAGACCTTCACTATGCTTCTTGCATGGAATTTTTGTCTGTGATTTCTTCATTCATTTAACCTTCAACATATAATATACTTTATTTACTCAGCTACCTTTTGATAAGAAAATTTTCAGTTGTTCCTCTCTAAACATTTCTTATGAATCTTTACTGAGAACAGACTTTCTCAAAACAATTTTGTGATAAAAATGTTCATAATAAATTTTTCACAGCTCAAAATATTTAGCCCATTGCATTCTCAAAAGACAAAAAAAATAGAAAACATATAAGTTCAATCCTGGTTGGAATAAAAGGGGTGATAAAACAAAGTTTCATAATAACTAAATATGTTTTCTCTGTTTGGGATGTTTCTGGTGAAGTTTGAAAGTAATTTATTTTTTTTATAAAAAAATTGATGTAAAATAACATTTCAAAATTGTTCTTATTTAATACTCAAGATATATTTGATTTCTCTTGTAAGCTTCATAAGAATGTTTATAAGTTGTATATGAACACAATATATTTATCTATCCATYGATTTATTTGTTTTTATGTGATGCTGAGAATTGAACCCAGGGCCTCACACCTGCAAGGCAAGCACTCTACCACTGAGCTACAGCCCCAGCCCCAAGAATTTTTTTAAAACCAGAAAAAGATTATTCTGTGAAATCAATGTCAAGTATATGAAATATAACAATTACAGGATCTAATGTATTCTTCCATTTACATTTGTATGCAGGATATGTATTTCTCCACTTAAGACACACTAGTGAAAACAAAAATTTAACAAATTGTTTATTAAGTTTGTTGTATGTATAGGTAGTCAACTTTTGAAGTAAGAGAAAACCCACACTCTTCCCCTTTCAGCTGTTTTCACAGTAGACACTGTCTTTAAGAAAATGAATATGCCAAGAAATACTGGAAACTCCCTGCCTTCCAGAAGTACTGATTAATTTGAGAGTTTGCATTTTTTTCATGCCAATAAAGTTTGGTGTCAGTGATGGATATGAATATTTTGAATACTTTTCCTCCATAAGTTGGTACTATAAAATATTTATCAACACTGAAATACATTTTACCTACATTTACACTTACAAGATGTTAAACTGCCTAAGTGGTATTTATCAGTGATTCTACTACTATATTTTATTTGTGTTTTTTGATATTCTTACTTCCATTAAGAAAATACTTTTAATTTGCTTTAGAATGCTTTACTAAAGTATGATTTTTATAATTGGAGTTGAAAAAATCAGTTGGCATAGTGCAGATAGAGTATTTATTTGATTGGATTTTTAGATATTTTGAAATCTATAGGTGATTGTTTTAAATTATTTTTCCTAAAAGGATAATTCTCTATCCAAAAATTGTGCCTATTCCCAGCAATATTTAACCTTTTATGACAAAATTCTATTCAGTATATTGTTTGCTAGTAGATACTTTTKAATGTGCGATTCCAGAATAATAGTTACCTAGATTTTAGGTTCTCTAGCTAGAAGAGGGGCATCACCATATGGGCTCTCTGCTGTTTTTGAATATAGTTCTCTGGAAAATGTGGAAAAAAAAAGAATAAGCAAGAAAATAAAGAAACCATAGAATAAAAGTATAAGTTTCTAAATACATAAATGCTACTTTTTTTAGTAATAATTCAAAATATTGGTAAATGAGGGGCTTTTAAAATTTTCTATATAGAAAGTATTTGCTTGAGAATATGTTACAGTTCCTCTAAACTCTTCTATTGTTTTTTTTTTTTTTTTCCTTCCAGTTACTGGCTAACAAACAAAGTTCCCATCAAAAGACCCAGCACAGGTCTCCTCATGTATACACTTGCCACAAGATTCTGTGATGAAATTCACCTGTATGGATTCTGGCCATTCCCTAAGGATTTAAATGGAAAAGCTGTCAAATATCATTACTATGATGACTTAAAATATAGGTACTTTTCCAATGCAAGTCCTCACAGAATGCCATTAGAATTCAAAACGTTAAATGTGCTACATAATAGAGGAGCTCTAAAATTGACAACAGGAAAGTGTATAAAGCAATAAAGCACATTTTAAAACATACAAACAAACCGAATATGCACTTCTGTTCTGAAGATGCTTCTGAAGATTTGAAAACAGGATCCAAAACAAGGCTGGGTTTCAGCATTCACCAATTAACTGAAAGGTTGATAAAGGATGTTCATGTGAAATCCACTACCAGCTGATGAAATACCTGCAAAGTGCTCTAAAAATTAAATATTTTGACTTCAAGGGTCCTAGTAAGTGCCACTTCCACTAAGAATACAGTTTGAATGTATAATCAGTAGTGTTTACAAGATCAAACAATGCATTTGTCATTAATTAGCAAAGCAAATATGTTCGTCAATTTTGGGCTGCCGCTGCAAAGCAAAGCACATGAGAAGAGGAACCCAGGAACACAACTCAGCCCTTGGGAAATTAAATCATCCTTATCAGCAGAAATCAAGATGGAACAATTTGAGCAGTGAAATCCATAAGATTAGACAACTCAAGTAAATGCCTTCAGTCAGGACTCTGAGTCTGATCATGAATGTTATGTTTTTGTTTGTGTTTTTTTAATTTTTTGGGGGGTGGGGGGATGTCTTCTGAAGTCTCTTTTGATTTAGATACTGCGATGCTCAGAAATCATTTCTGAGATAAAGAAATAGGAAATACAAATGAATGAGAAAAATAAATGTCAAGTAATCATTACTAAAGTTCTCATAGTTTTCAAAAACAATCACACTGTTTCTATTTTTAAGTTTTGTTTTGCACAACTCTAAACCTCCAGATTAATTTCCAGTGGTGTAGAAGGTACCAGCTAAACTGTACCACTTAGTAATAGTGGACCATTTTAAAGGAAAGATGTTCCAGATCATCTAAAATGGTAAAATTAACAGRAAAAAAAAGCACTTTAGGTACCAAAGATTATACTCATTTTTCTACACAACATACCATTCTCCTCTCATGAAAGTAATACATTATCAAAGTGAATTTAGTATTATGCTATTAACGTGAAAGTTGTTTCTAAATATTTTTAAATTTCCAAAGTCAAATTTTATTTTCATTGGAGGGAAATCTTCCATATTCCCTTCATTTCATAATGATTCTGTGGAAACATTTTGCTCTTTAGAATAAAGAGGGGCATCAAGAGTAAGCAAGAAAATAAAAAAATATATAATAAAAGAATAAGTTTAGAATAAAGTTTGATATAGCAGAAATGTGACTTCTAGTTGTTTAATAWTCCCCTGTGATTCAAAGGCAAAGATTGTTATGCTCTTTGTATCATACTTAGTGCAAAAATATCATGATTAATATCAGAGATGATAAATGTTAAGAGGTTTAACAATGAAACTATGTCAGTGTTAKGTACTTAAAGTGAATTCAATTGACCAATAGTTTTCTGTAAATTTAATCACATTACCCCTAAATGTATTTTTAAAGAAACTAAAGTTTTTCATAAGGTGATTTTTTTTAAAGTATAAAATATAACAGAATGGGTCAGTAAGTTAGTTTTCTTATAATTTATACTGCACCAGTAGGTAATTCTGTTGGTAAATTGTTTCTTCAGAAAGCAGAAGCACTTTTTTCTCACTTCTTCTTTGGCATGAACCAACTTACATGACTTCTTGTTTCTTGGGGAAGGTGTCTGAGGAAAGAAGAAATAGCATGAGGAATAGGTTTGTTTTGTTTCTTTCTTAGAGAAGGCAATGTGAGAGATGAATAAAAGCATGAATAATATATATATATATATATATATATATACACAAATATATATGTATATTCATGTTATCATGGTATAGATATTCAGAATAGTATGATTTTTAATATTTTTAATGATATGTGCTATTATTTTAAAAAATAAGGTAGATCATTGGGATACAGAAGACTATATTTTCCTAGGATTCTTGTGTCCCTAAGAAAGCAAAATGGAATACATATGGGAGATTCATAGCTAAAAATGAATAGAACTTTAATGTACTTTTATCATTAAACCTCTTATCTATTGAAATTTTTTAAAAAATTGCATATGCTTTGAAGGTAAACTTGAAAAGTATGATTTATCTAACATGAAAAGTAGAATCTTTTCATAAAGTATGATTTATTTAATAAATGAAAAGTAAAATTGTATCTCAGTTTGGACTGTTTGCACATAATAAATTGTTATAGTAGCCTTTATCTTAAATTCAGTAGAAACGTAGAAGTCACAAGTAAATCTTCCAACTTGATATTCATTCAAAGTTTGTCTTAAAAAGCAACAGCAAGGTACCTTGCCATTTTTACTGCATTTTCAACAAATGTACTTAAAAAATTTTAAGGCCACAGCAAACACATGTCAGCCATTCACTGTTTCTGTGCATTGATGTTTATCTCATAGATGTATTGGGTAGTGCCTTTTTAGCTTCTTCACTCTGCTTTATTATCCTACACTTTCTGTTCTCTAAATACTTGCCCAGTTCTGAAATGTTCAGCATAAAAAAAGGGCTTCAGTATTGACTGAGACTATTTTTGTTCATCTCAGGGAACTTTCAATACTCAAGAATGAATTCAATTAAGGTATTCAGTGTTCAAACAAGGCAACTGTACAACTGTACAAGTCTATTTCATTCCCTATTGTATATACCTATCCATCTGTCTTCCCCCTACTGTGGCCTTCTTATAAGGATAGGGCAAGGAGATCATTGAAGGCTAACAGCAAGACTAACAAAGAGTTGACATTTAACCAACAAGGGGGCAAATGGGATCAGAGCAAAATCAAATTATAAATACATACTTGAAATATAGGGTTTTTTCTTTCTTTTGAAACTGTCTTACACTTACAGCTTTAATTTTTTTTTCACTTATTTTTCATGATTTAACCATGTACCTGGCAATGCTCAGGCAGCTGATTGTGAAATATTCCTGTTTAGGTAACATAATGTTACTGTGCTGTTAACATGAATAGGCCATGGAAACATTTCATCATTATTACCCAGCCTGTTCTATGGTTAATGTTATATTGCTGAAATAAAAAGTGAGTCAGTAACAGATTTTCTGGGCAAATCTAAATGATTCAGCCCTCAAGACTGATGAAACTACTGTGGAAGTTTTCCTAACTGAAAGAAGGTGCTGGGCATTCAAATGTCTTCATGTATTGTATATCATATGAATTGTATATCAATTATTAATGGGAATTTCTACATATATGCTTATAGAAGTGATTAATTTAAATAATGCTAGGGGTAGTGTACATACCGACTAGTTACTAAGCTATTACACAGGAAAAGGGTGAACAAAGTAATTTATTTCTAATTGAGCCAGTTAGTCATAATGCACATAATGTTGTATTTGGTTCATAAAAGAATTGTTTTCATGTGGTTATTATAAGGACTATCTGTAATTGTGGAAGGGGTGTGGGAAGAGTTATGTATAGTTAGTTGTTATCTCTTCAAGTTTGGAAGTTTCCCCATCAAACATTATTAATATACCAATGTTTTAAAAAAAATGAGTGAGGGTTGTTGTTTGTATTTGATTTTTTAAAAAATCCAAATAAAGCCCACCTAGAAATAGATATTTTATTATATATGTGCTATAGATATATCTATATAGTACAAATAGACATGTGTGTAACATATATACAATGTTATATATGTGTATCCGTGTGTATACACACTGAGTCTGTAAAATGTACACACTAGATTTGTGTTATGTTAACATCTTCAGGGTCTGCACTGTGAACTACCCTGGAGATATTAGACCACTTGGGAATAAAGAGTTCTTTTGAAACTTCAGTGACTAAACTGCTTTAAGAGAGACCTACTTTAAAACTGAATTCTATGTTCATACTTAGAGTTAAAATAAGGGACTAGTATGTCCACATTTTTTTAAAATGAAAAAAAAAAATAATAAAAGTCTTCAAGCTGGCAGTGTATTTGAATTGCAGTTTTCAGATTGTGACTCCAGGCCTTGCGTGTCTCATTTAAGTAGCACCTTTTAATAAATACTGTTTCTTTGTGTAGGCAAAAGCACAAGTGTTTCAAATGTATATAGCAGGAAAAAAGTCAGTTTACAGAGATAGCATTGCTGCACAGGATAATTGCTACTGAGAATTTCTTATATCATTYATTTGTGGAATTAAGAGATGAGGTTTTTTTCTGTCAGGTTCATTCTGTTAAACACTGTTTCCCTATCATTTGTGTAAAGCAAGTGGGTATTATTGTTTCATCATTTGTAAAATTGTAAAATAAATTAAATTCCTTTTTTCAATTTTTTTTCTCTTGCTTTTATATCAAAGACCTTGGTTCTACTTAATATGTCAATATTGGGTGGTCATTTTAGTAATTTTTTGTTGATGTTTTTGTCTTCCTTTCCCTTTAGCCCCAGTCATTGAAAATTAGGCTAACCATTTTATTTCAAAGTGTGTGCATAGAAATATGAATAAGATCAGTAGAAACAAGAACATGAGAAAATCATTAACAATTTATTGTATAGTACATTTTGGTTTTGGTTTTTGGAGGAGCATTACAGAGATGATGGTCATTTATATCCAAATTATACTCCCACTGACTAAAGTAAGTGAGTCATTTCAGCTTTAGGGCTGAAGAGGACAATAACTCCTTATACATATATATTCAAGGACTGCCTCTTGACTTGTGATTTCATCTGCAAATTGCTGTTCTTTGCAGGTGGCCTTCCAGGGGATGATTTTGAAAGACTATACACTTAAATCTTCTTTCATGGCTTTTCATATGTGCCAATCCATGTTTTCATTTACTCCACTATTTTCTAAAGAAAATTTTAACTATAAATTCATGAGGTCTCTGTCAGCATTCTGTGATTTTGAAATTTGCTGCAGACCAAGAAGTAACTGTTAACAAAGAAAAATTAGCAGAGATGCTATTTTTATACTTGTGTTATTATATTTTACCTTCAAAGRTCCATAAACAGTGGATTGTTCCTCTCTGTTCTTGGAGTATAATCATATCTCATCATGTAAAACTCCATTTTCTGATGTTACAGAGCATCTTTCAGGATTTTGGTGAGKTATGGTGACTTTCAGCTATTTTTCAAAAAGGCAATGTTAAGCCAAGTATGCTGGCACATGTTTGTAATCCCAGCTACTTGAAAGAATGAGGTAAGAGTATCACAAGTACAAAGCCAGCCTCAGCAATTTAACAAGAGCCTGTTTCAAAATAAATAAATAAATAAATAAATAAAAAGGAATAGGAAGGGGATATAGCTGAGTAGGAAAGTGCCCCTGAGTTCCATTCTCAATACTCCCCCAAAAAGGCAATATTAATTTTTTTCCTACCATCAAATATTGTATACAACATTTATTTATTCATTTATTTTCAAAATCTATCTATTTATTTATTTTTGTGGTGTCAGAGATTAAACTCAGTGCTTCATGCATGCTAGGAAAACACTCTACTACTGTGTCACCCCAGCAGTCACTAAATATTTATTCTTTTGAATAGATGTAACATACTTACGTTGTTCTCTGAAATTGTGATTAGATTTCCTGTGATTTTTCTCTATAGTGYGCTGTTGTTCAACAGGCTTTCCAAAGGAATGATATTTTCTCACACAATTCCAATTTATCTTCAGGGATTAAAAAGGCACTATAGCATACTGCAAACTTTGAGAAGTAGGGCAATTACAAAATTAATTTTTCTAAGTAAGAATGACCAAACAAATTCAACTTTTACATCTTCAATGCATGTTTTAAGAAGTGTAATTATATAGTATTTTTTGTAGTTTTTTTCCTGGAATTAAAAACTAGGCAAACACTTTCCTTATAATATATTTATTGTCAGTGTCTTGTATAAAACTAAATGTCTTTGTTCTTGTATTTACTAGTATTAATTTAAAATACAGGTATTAAAATACAAAATAATTTGTGCTCATTTGATTAGGCACAAATTCTGCCAATTTATTGAAATAAGTTTTTCTAAATTTTTGAAGAAATTTTGTTAGCTCTAAGTGACTGAATCAAACTAATTCAATGTATTAAGATTTATACTCTTAGTGTAAAATAGACTGACCACATGCTCATAATAATCCAACAATTTATGAGACCAATGCACATCTTTCTCTTCTATGTTAACAAAACTGAAATTGTCCACACTCTGATCAAATAGATTCTGAATTTTGTACATATAGTAACAAATTTAATTTCAATAACAAAACTATGACAGGAATGCTGCAGGCATCCCAATTTTATAAGAGGTTGTGTGATTTGTTCAAGGTCACACAGCTCAAAAGGGAGACAACCAAAACTGGACCCCACTAACTTCAGGGCCCACTCTCTTAACAGCCACATTTGATGCTGCCTCCTCTTAACTGGCAAGAATTTCCTTGACAAACTAAGTTACCCAACATATTATTATTTAATGAGCAGAAACAAGAAGTAAAGGTACATATGTAGAGAGAATATGTAACTTAGACTTGGGAAAGTATTAATGATCACTGCCTCAAAACAGCACAATTATTTTTAATGATAAGAATATCTATGCCTGCCAGGTCAGTGTTTTTCCCCTAAACAGTGTTAAATAAATATTGTCATTTCTTGCT